GATATAAACAAGAGTTAAATTCTACAGCATATTTGTGATCACAAAACATCAGCAAACTTCTAAATAAAGACCCAACACACTTCTAATATTAAACATTGAAATTAATGTGTACTTTACATACATCTAAGAAAGATGAATAAAGACATGTAAAATAAAGACATGTAAGAATTTCCAACCTGCTTATTCCAGTTCAGGGTCTAGGGTGGCCACAGACTGTGCTGGAAACTAAGGGTGCAATGTGAGACCCCACCCTGGACAGGATACCCTTCTATCGCAGGGCCACTCACGCACACCCTCACACTCAGAGACTGGGACAATTTAAACGCACAATTCACCTCATGTGTGCATCTTTGAGATGTGGGAGGAAACCGGAGTCCCCAGGTGCCTATAATTGTATATAAGGAGCTCTGGTACTAATAATTAACCAATCAGACACAACCTTATTATGAGGGGTGACCAATAAGATGCAACTCTATTACATAACCTATATACTTATGGTTCAAGACAGGGCATTCACACTGGATGGCTATTGTTGTGTTGGCTGTTGTCATTTTTTTGATTTGACAATCTAAGGGGAAAAGAAGCCAGTGCTCTTTTGGGGAGAATGTGCAAACTCCACACAGACAATGGCCCCAGCCTGGATTCAATTTTTTTTCTCATCAACATTATAATGAAATAACATTGAATGAGGACTTGCTACTCTGCATGGCATATGCCTTAGAGTGTAGGTGCATTGTGACTGGGATTCAGGAACTTGAGCTGAAAGTTATGCAATATAGGAGGCATCTGTTTGCCTCTATCTCCTTTAGTTTTCTATTTGAAAATCCAAAGGAATGTCCAAAATGTGTCTCAGAGACTTTTATTCCATCTATGTTTATAGGATTTTATCTTCCAATATATTTGGGAAATGTTAGGTTAAACTAGTGAAATTGTTTTTTTGTGTTTTTTTGTTGTTTTGTTTGTTTGTTTTAACAACAGAGCTTCCCAGCACCTTTAATGTACTAATGTGCTGTATTAAAATCCAAAAGTGTGTAGTGGAATGAACCACTGTTTTCCATCTTATGTGACCATAGAACCCTCCTGGCCACAACCTACCATTCACTGACTAATACTCCTTAACATCTTATCAACCTAATGTTGTATCTAAATACTTATCCGCTCTATTGGGTTACATTTGGACAGTATCACTTGTTCACATAGCCTAACTGGCCCATGTAGACATCTGTGTTTGCAGCTCCAACTTTCCACAGACTTGATTATATTATGTTCTCAGAAGACCCTGACAAAGTAGGGTCTTGATCCCATTTTAAAGATGAATAAACTGAGTTTCAGGGAGATTAAGCAATTTGCCCATCGACACACAGGTAGTAAGTAGCCGATGCAGGCTTCACATGGAAGTCTGTACACTTTGTTACATCATGTTCAACCTCTACTTCTCTTCATTTTCCTCTGGTCTTCGGACCCATCTTTTGTTTCTATTTAGTTAATGACTAGGCTCTCTTTGTCACAGGCTGTCATCAAAATGAGGAATGGCATCTGAGAAGTGCTGTCCATGGCTTTTATGCTGAGAACACAAAAATGATAATTAAAGAAAATCACTACTTCTTCGTTCACTCTATATTAGATGGTGGTATCTTAGTAATAATAGATTATACTCTGCTTTTAGGGAAAAGCAGACTTTGGAAATTAATTCTCAAAAAGCACAGCATGTAAGATGAATATTGTACTTAAGTTATAGTTCATTTCTCTAGAGCTTAACAAAAATAATCAACGAGATAAATTGGTCAAAAGTAAGCGACCTAATAATGGAATGGGCAAGTGGTGTTTAGAAAACTATGCACTGCTGTATATACCTGCTATCCATGGCATGTAGCATCATCAGCAAACTGGAACAGTGGCCGCAGCACACTGCTCTGCCCACTGCAGTGGGCATCATCCAGTTGTTTGATGCCCTGAATAGAGCAACATGCAGAGGAAAGAGGCATTTCTCTTGTTTTCAGCTTCTGTAATGAATGACTCTATATTCACAGCATTTAACATCCTAAAGATTTGCTTCTAGCTCACATCACAGCCTGATAAAGGTTCAGAGCATCTTCTGTCATCTTTCCAAGCAGTCCCTCAGAGATCCAAGGCCCTTCCCTCCTGTGAGGCTACCATGTTGAGCAGGTGGCCCCTCAGGCCACCACATAAGGGGGAAAGAACGTGAACAATTGTGTTGAAGGCTTTATAGCCAAGCTTGGAAAGGGCTTGAATCTCTACCTCCTTTATCTTATTAGCCAGAAACCTATCATAAGGGCCTAACCTAAGGGTTTGAAGGCTGGGGAACATAGTCTTGTGTGAACAGGAAGAACTAAAACTGTTGAACAGCTAGCCTGTCTGCACCAAAAATTCAAGGAGGACCATGCACCTAAGGTAGATCAGGGAAAGGTTTCTGTAGAAGTTGAGTGCATCCCGAAGCTTTTTCCCTGCCTCACTGCTGAGCCGGAACATCTCATCTTCTCTTGCACTGGGACTGCAAATTATGCCATTGGGGTGTTGGCTTGGTTGGGTCTTAGGTGTTTGGACTTGGACTAAATTACACCACTGGCTTTTTAGGTGTCCAGCTTACAGATCATGATACTTCTCAGCCTATGAAATTGCATGAGCCAATTCCTCATAAACATATTAGATATTATAATATATACATATATATCTCCATATACAGAGAGATATTGATATATCCTATTGGTTCTATTTCTCTGAAGAATCCTAATATAATTGACTTTCTATCTTAATAAAAAGTGTGTGTGGGGGGAAAGGTCAAACCCAGTTTCTTTCAAATCACAAATATGTTGTAAACTACTTTATATATTAAAATGGTTGATTGCAGAGAAGTGTTTAGGAAATAGCCAGACATATCAAGATTCTTTTCATTTCAACGCACTGTTGGTAACAATGAACAGCATGGCCCTACTCTCTAAAGCCAGCTGCTCTTAAGGGCTTCAGTTAATAAATTATTATCTCTTGAATCTCATTTTCAATTAACAGGGGCTTAGTCAATTGATAGTTTATTTAATGGGGAGAGCATTCATGAGGAGAACATTCATCCTTAAGACTGTGGCCTTAATATTTTTGTATCACAGACCAGTTTGGAACTTAATGAAATGTATGATTTTCTCCCCATCAAAACACACATACACATATAATCATTCACATTTGCACCGTTTTAGGGACTCTTGGGCCCCTTGGAGTTCTAATGTTCCCTCAAGAATTTAAGGATCCAAGGATCCAGAATAAAAGCCTATGGTAAAAATGGGTAGCTGGTCACCTGGATCAACAGCAAAGATGTTTGAGAGGGTGAAGAACTGGGAATATTAGAAAAGACATCTTATACGATCAAGAAGGCTCCTGAGAATAGCTACCATTTGCTGAATCCTGGCTCAATGTTAGACACTGTGCTAACGTTTAAACATACTTAGCCTTTACCATCATTCTACAAACAAGAAAATGGGCACAGGGAAGTTAAGAAACTTGCCCTAGACTGCATGATCAGTAAGAGGTGGAGCCTGAATTCCAACCAAAGGTCAGTCCTATTCCAATGGGACCCAGGATCTCACAGAATCTAAGTCAGATTTGATAATGTGTTGTTCTCAAGGGTGAGGACCCTTTAGAAGCCAATGCTGTTGATCCACTCACTATGTTTAATTAGAGTAAAATTTTGTGTTTTAACCAAGTGACAACCAACAACTAATTAATTTAGAACCACCATATCTGTTCCAAAAAGTATTGAAGAGACAACTAGATTCCAGGTTTGAATATGGCAACTACTTTATTGTTTTCAAATGCAAACTCTTTGCATTTAGTTTGCTATTTTACAATTTTACAAACTAGGTATAAAAGACCATAAATAAATGACATAAGTTATGTGTACCTAAGTTTCATGAAGGGAAGAAAATACCTTGACAAATTAAAACAAAATAGAAATTCTATGTCTAACTCAAGAAATTGCTCAAATTTTGGAACATGAACCAAGCAATGTTCAGTTAATTTATTTTTCAGTATGAACTAAATTATAATATGCCTTATACATTCTAATTTTAACCACAGTCCTTGCATATTCCAACATACTTGGAGTGATAAAAAATAATACACTCTTTAGTGTGTATCAATGCTTGATGTTGTTTGGAGAATGTTAAATAAGTGAAAATATTGCTTCTAGAACTTTGCTTTATTGGTCAGAATTTAAGTGTCTTCAGACAAATATTGAGGCTATACGCGTGTATGGATTAATATACATATCCTTCACAGATTGAATACAAGAGCTCTCAAAACACACACACCAACAGTGTAGTGAGCACAGCCTTTCTTTAAAATAACTTTTTAAAACACACCAGAACTTTTTATTCATAAAATTGTTAAAAATAATTTGGGGCCAGTGGACACATGGTGAAGCTACTTGATTTGGTGCAGGGGATCAGCTTAATGCTTCCTAATGGTAGATCTGAACTCACTAGGTCAGCACTAACTCATGGGGCTAGACCCAGTCCCTAAAGCTGGCCTCCTGCCCTTACTCTGGGGAAAGGTGACTTGCTCAGAGATTCAACCTCATTTCTTTATACATATTTTTCAGGCATTAATGCATAGGCACATCCCTTTAAAAATATATTAAGGTCCCCAAAAAGGGGTGAATTAACTTTGTCACTCTGGCATAGTTCTGAGAATACAATGCCATACACCCTGTCAGAATGCAATAATTAGCTCTATATTAATAATTGTAGAACTTTCCATGTAATTGGGAACCTGAAATTGCTCGAGGCCATTTAATCCCATCCATGCTAACCTCAAGAGTCACCGGCATACATTTTTCTGTGACATTGGGAGACAAAGTATTAATCCAGGACACATCATCTCAAAGCTGACACACATGTCTACGTTCATCTCCAAAAGTATATGAATTGCATATATTTGTTCGCATTCATCAAGTCCATTTATGCAGGAAAACAAAGGCTACTTGTATTCCATTTGGGATTACCAGACAAATTCCATCCCCTTCTCTCTCTCTCCATCAAGGAACTAGTGATTCAGATGAGGAGTTCAATCAGAATCGTGACTTTGAAGATGGATTGTCACTTGAATGGGTTTATATTTATATTCTAAGATTACTCCACCACTAAGGTGAAAATGCTCTGCCCAAAGCTGTATAATTACTTATTAAGGTTAGTGTGGCAGCTATAAAATACAACATAAATACAGACATTTAACATTTCTGGGTTTCCTTCTAAGGGGATGGGCATGGTCTCCAGCCCACTATTTTGTGTGGCTCTTCATCTCAGAACTGGTGGAAAACCAGAACTCTTCAGGTGTAGCATTCCACGACATTCACAGGCAGTTCTAAGCATGAGGTTACACACACACACACACACACACACACCACACACACACCACACACATCCACACGCATCCACACACACTCACACCTATGTACACACATCAAAACAGATAGTCAGCTCATATTTAGTCTAGGAAAAAAATATATTTATATCACTGCAATGGCACACCCTGGGTAAAATGTTACTTCAGCAATGCATATCATAGGCAGTTCACGGGAACTGGCTTTGTGTTGTGTGGTGGCACCTGACCTGGTGTCCATAATAAAACCTGTTGCCTTCGGTCACTTGCTGCCACACCAATGCAGCAGTGACGTACAGCAATGAGATATGGAAATAGATATAAATAAAACCACAAGGAGTTTGGGAACAAGGGTTCTGCAGAGCTGGTGCTTTGAGACAGTACATTCCTCAGTGCAACTGGAGAATAGATGCCGAACCTTGAATGTTTGCTGCTTCTTTCACTGGAAAGGGGATTTGAAAGTCATAGATTTATTTATTTCAGGTATTTGGGTGCTGTTTCATCAATGTCTTTGCTCCAGAACTGGCATAGTAGAAGCAGAAGAAACACATTTCTAAGGAACCAAGAAGGGTGTGTTCTGTTTTCTTTGTGGGCTTTGTAATCAACAGGAAGGGCTGTGAGGCCGAGATAGCAGAATCTACTCCCTGTAGAAAAAAGAACAAGACTTTAGAGAAAGTTGTCAGCCAGCCAGTTGTCAACCAATATTGTAAGAAAGAATGTAGGTACATGGAATTTGGTAGGGTTCAGTAAGTAGTCCAGGAGGGAGATCATAAAATCTTATTTCTTCTCCTGAAAAAAAAAATGCCAACTATGACAATCAAAAAATTATGTGCATTTGCAGCTTAATTATAACTACTTGGAGGAAGATACAGTTCTTATTCCTTTTATATTGATGAGGGCATTAAAGCAAAGAGAGGCTATGCTATCTTCTCATATTTATAAATGCTGAAGTGACAACACTGGGAAGAGAAATGCACACAGTCTATGTCTTTAGCAGTGTTTGAACAACTCCTCTTTGAAATGACTTGTATGGTTCAGTAGTGCAAGATGACAAGGGCTGTGTTGGTGAGGATGTGAAAGGCAAACTGTAAATACTGTAAAAACGTGGATACTAGCATCTAGTCTTTCTAAAGTGGGAAACTGTATGTCTTGGGAACATATGTATTTGGAAACATCCCAATCCATCAGGAGCCAACAATACAATTGAAAAAATGCAAACTCAGAAATTAAAAGTATTGGATGATTTTCTTGAAAAGAAAATGACTTCTAATGAATGAGATTATTTAATTAGTAAAAGGTCAATACAATCTGCATGGAATAGAGAGAGAGGGAACCTGGGGCCATGGACACAGTGAGAGGTTTGGTGCAACAATGACAGTGGTCTTGGGGGCTCAAGCTCACCAAGAACTAATCTGCTACACATGACCCATCAGTCTAGAATTGAACAAAGCTGGCACAATATAATTAAATCACTGGGCTCCTCATTTGCCAAATAATCAACTCAAACCAAAGGAAGCTATTTCCTTGTCTTGGCAACAACTGACTGTCAAGATTGTTTCTTGGACTATATCCCCCACCCCAGTGTCCATACTTGGCAGTTGGCCTCAAATGTAGAGCAAGGATTAAGGCCAAAATTTATCTTTACAGATAAATTTGCTTATTTTATTAAACCATTGATTTATTTGCTTGTATATATATATTGTGTGAAGGAGATAAATAAAATTTAGTTTCTTTGAGGTAGATGACCATTATTTAAACTTGTAGAAAATACTTTAATCTGTTTGGAAAACGATAAATAAAGTTTTCTTATAAAATAGTATAGAAATTACTTCTTAAGAAATTAAAAATTATAAATGTGGGTAAGGGTATAATTACCAAGGTCTTTAAGAAGCCATTTGTCAACATCATTTTGACAGTTATGAAAATAAAAGAAAGAAAAAGGACCGGATCCGTTTTTCCCACCATTTCTTCTCTGAAAATCAGTAAGTCTATCAAATGTAGCTTTGCAACCTGAATGTAAAGGGATTTCATTGGGCAGGTATGTATTTATATGAAAGAAAAGGAGAACATGAATATGATCTTAAGACTCTGATGCAGTACAACCAACACCATATGGATATGCAAACATTTTGTAGAGGATATTTTGCTAATAGAACACCCATTCTTAGGAGAAAGTGTAGTTTCCAAAACACATGTCTCCTTTCAGTTTGCCAACCCCTTCTTCTCAACACCTACATATAAATATGTATTATATAAATATATTTGTAATATTAAGTGGGCTATTTGGGGACACTGTGTATGTGAAAAGGGTTGAATGTTTGAAGTGAGAAGTGTGGGAATGTGAAGGCTTATGTCTACTTGATGCCAGAAAGAGTGCAGAAAAATAAACCTTCTTTTCTCCTTTGAATTCAGGCAACTCCTTTATCAAGGGGAATTGCTAGAACAGAGACCAGACAAAGCATGTGGTCCATGTGGGATCATCGGTAAAAATGTGACTTTCATTGTGACTAAATAAACAAAGCATTGTCCTTTGAGTCAGTCATGAAGACATCAAAGTGTCATTAGTGTCCAGTTCCTTTCATTGCAAAGGAGTCTTATTTGTGCATTTCACTCTTT